TTGTCACAAGGCCGGACCGGGGGGTCAATGGCATCGATAGCCTCGAGTAGAGTCGTGCCTTTCACGACACCGGCCTTGGTCTCCTTGGTCCAGCCCTCAAACCAGGGCATGCTGTGTGACGGCCAAGTAAGATAAGGATGAATAGGAACAAAGCCCTTACTTCGCGGACTGCTCCGCCAAGTTGTCGCCATGCCAGCCCGAAACAGGGACGAAGGCAACAAATTTAGGGTTGTATCCGACCTTCTTTATGAAGGTGGAAGTCTCCTTGACAATTTCATGGAAACGGTCCTCGCTCCACTGAGACGGTTAATTAATTGAAACAATTTTCGGTACAGGAAGAAAAACCGACTTGACTCGTGTCCATCTTATTGACCGCAATTATGAGCTGACGAATGCCGAGGGTGAAGGCAAGTAAGGCGTGCTCCCGAGTCTGGCCCATTCTGGAAATGCCAGCCTCGAACTCACCGGCGCTACCAGAAATGATGAGGATGGCACAGTCAGATTGAGAGGTACCAGTAATCATGTTCTTCATGAAATCTCGATGACCAGGGGCATCGATGGCCTACTGGAGGTTAGCCAATGCGTACTTGTTCCTCCCTTGACAAAAATTTGACTCGCAGTGACAACAAAGTTGCGAGTTTCGAACTTTCGAAGGGTGATATCGATAGTACGCTCCCACTCGGCCTTGAGCTTGTCGAGGACCCAGGCTATTGAAATTAACAATCAGTCCCAAGCGATGAAGCTGATTTTGGACGATACTCAAGCTGACCGTACTTGAAGGAACCCTTGCCGAGCTCAGCAGTTTCTTTCTCAAACTTCTCGATGGTGGGCTTGTCAATACCACTGCACTTGTAGATCAAGTGGCCAGCGGTGGTCGATTTGCCGGAACCGATGTGGCCGATAACTGGGATTGGTGAGTGACGGAGGATGGCCGTTGGCATTGATTGGAGTACTGACGGACGACGTTGACATGATTCTTCTCATTTCCCATGTTGAATCGTTCTGTCGGAGGAAAGAATGATGAGAGCAAGAAGAAAGAAGTGATACCCGCAGTCCTCCCAAAAGGAGTTAATAGAGCGCGGCAGCCTGAAAGAGCATCGTTGGAGCGAGATCTAGTCGTGGTGTTTTGTGTGTTTGCTCGAATGCATACAACGGACAGTCGCATCAATCATGATCCACCCCGAAGCTGAGATTCCGAGACGCGGGGTGCCACCAAACTGTAAAAGTGCATAGAAGGGAACTAGCTTCTGAAGAATTAACTCGTTATTGGATACTGGTGGGATAGGAGACAGTGAGACTGCTACTGGAGACAGATGTTTTCCATTCCAACAGTTGAAGGTCAAGATTCAAGACTCGGAGAGCCCAGAGCCCAAACGTTCGGATGTCGTTTTCCGAAAGCCAGCCAGACGTGGGTTCTCTGCAAATTTGATTCACGCCAGATTACACAGCAGCCGCAATTTAAGGCTCCTACATGGCCGATGTACGTCTTGCTGCATTGTGACTTTTGTTGAGTGGCAAGGAAGACCCTTTTGGCCGACTGGCTAAATTGATCGCCGACTGATCGACTCGGCCCGACATGCACCAGCCAACGTGACAACGGCATCACGCTCTCTCTCCTTGCTCTCGAAGTCAACTCGAACTTCAACTTCAATTAACTGAATTGTCAGCTCGAATCAAGATTCCGACTTGTCCGGGAATATCACCTCATCGCTCCGTGTTTATCAGTAAGAATGCTGACTGTTTATAAACAAGAACGCTGACTACTCTGCTGAATCTCCTCCCGCTTCATAATCTGAACCAATGGGCTCATGTGATCTCGTTCCTTCCGGCTTTGGTTACCCAACTTAAAAGGCGGAAGAGCACCCTTCGAAGAGTATCCTGATAGGCCATGGTGTTCGCAATCTTCCTCATTGCTACGCTGTCAATTTTCCTGAGTTCTGATGTATCGGCTGCCCAACCGCCTATAGTTTCCCTGCCGTATGGGAAATTTCAAGGACTCGACACCGGGAACCTGACCAAATTCCTCGGTGTTCCGTTTGCCCATGCGTAGGCCTACTGCCGAGATCTTGATTGGTGTTGACGCGATTTTACAGTCCGCGCTTTGACACACCAAAGCCTCCCAGACTGCTGCACGGTGTGCAGAATGCCACAGACTTTGGGCCCGCTTGTCCCCAGCAGGCATTGACCCCTCTGCCGATCCCTTTCCAGCCGCCTGGAGTATATCCTTCCATCTCTGAAGATTGTCAGTTTCCCGCTGTTTCAATCGACCTGCTTCTGACTTCATAGAGGCTTAACGCTTGATATCTTCAAGCCCGCTGCCTCGGATTCCAGATCGAAGCTTCCTGTATTTGTGGTAAACCTATTCATGATGCTTCACCTGGTACGAGGTGCTCACCTTACTGATAATAGTGGATATACGGGGGTAAATCATCTCGCAGTTTCCTTGAGGAAAAGATTCATGTCGCATTCCTTAGGTGGCTTCGAGGTTGGAAATTCGAGGGATCAGAACGTCTCATCATTAGCCGAGCGCTCCATCGAAACAAGCGGACCCGTCATCATTGTCGCGCTGAACTACCGCCTCACTGGTGAATTCGCCTCTTCTACCATTTCATCGCAACATAACACGCTTCCTTAGCGTTTGGCTTTTTGGGAGGAAAGGAAGTCGACGCGGCAGGAATAAGCAATCTTGGTTTAAGAGACCGTAAGTCTTCATATCTCATGTCATCCGTGCCAATTTCCAACGTTCCTGTAGAGATTTATGCTCTCGAATGGGTTAAAAAGCATATCTCTGCATTCGGAGGAGATCCTGATCGAGTCGTGATGTGGCTCAGTTCTATTTATTATATGCGCTCCTCCTGATGGACCTTCGCAGCGGCGGTCCGAGCGCAGGAGCCATATCTACGTCTCTCCTCATCCTTTCCAACAAGCAGAACTCAAATGCTTTGTTTCGGGGCGCGGTCATGGTAAGCGTCATTCTGGACGGCCCGCGCATTGCTCACTTAGTTATCATCAGGTATCTGGCTCCCCACTCACGTCGCCTTCCGTCGCCGATGGGCAGGTAGTGTATGATAGCCTGGTAGTCGCTAATAATTGCACTGCTTCTCCGGACACCCTCGACTGTCTTCGGCGCGTCCCTTTCGATTCGCTCATGGCCACGGTCAACAACAAAACTCTCGATATATTCACATACGGGGGTCTTGACCTCGTCTGGCGTCCCCGCGTTGACGGAGATGTTATCGTGGGCGACCCGTTGGTGTCAATTTCCCGCGGATTGTATGCTAAGGTGGCTTCTACGCTTTGAATGAGCGTTGCACTTGCTAACATTCGTAGATTCCCATCATGACAGGAGACTGCGACGACGAGGGAACGTGCGGATGTTCAATTGATTGACCAAGCATGCCAACCTGATCTTCCTCCAGGATATTTTCATTACCAGAGGCCAATATTACGTATGTGGCCCGTATTGCAACGGAGATATTCTGTTTAATAATGGGTGCCGTTGCCCAGAACGGATGCAGAATTCCTGGATTACGTGCATTCTACGTTTGTTGCAGTATTTTTCCGCTGTGTATTCTTGGCTTAGTCTCCCTGCAGATTTCTTCCAACTAGTTCGCAGGAAGAGATCGCTCAGATTGGAGTATTGTACCCCGACGATCCTACTCAGGTGCGCCATTTGAGCTACCAACTTGTTCCTGGGCTGATATCGAACCAAGGGCTCCCCATTCAACACTGGAACCGCCAACCAACTGACGTATGTCCTGTCAAGAGCGTCTCATTATGCATAGATGACCAACCGTCCATAGGCCGCAGTACAAGCGGCTTTCTGCATTCCAGGGCGACATTTTCTTTACAGGTGCGCGAAGGTTCTTCTTGGAGCACGCATCTGCGACACAAAATGCGTGGAGTTGGTGTGCGTTTTTTATATCCGGCGCCAATAAATGTGGATACTGAATAATTTGTTAGTGTTCGCACGGGGAAAAGACACACCGCTTGGCGCCTACCATGTCAGCGACATTTCGATCTGGTTCCCACCCAACAAAACGAGCGATACCACCGGCGCCGATGCCCTAAGTGAGTGGGATATTTCGCGCTTCATTGAATAACTGAATAAGCATCTCATCACAGTCAATTTCATTAACACGCTGGATCCCAACCACCCCGCTGCATCCTCGACCATTAAGCCCGCCATCTTCTGGCCGAAGTGGAACAAGCCGTCGTCGGCTGGATCACCCTCTCTGCTGACATTCAGCGACCCCAATGTTGTCAACATCACCGCGGAAGACTTCCGGGTCGACGCTATAGGTTTCTTGAATGAGGTGGTCCTGCGACAGGCCGGTGGATTTAAATAGTACTTCCTAGGTGATATGTACGCGTTGAACATGGTCGAAGCAATAATATCAAGGTGTTCTACGCACATCGTGTATTAGGAGCCTCTGGCAGATAACGCCCCCTTGAGTTTAAATTCTATCAAACCTAGGAGAAGTCGGGAATTCTGGCAATTCAAGTTGACATTCACAGCGCATCGCTGAGCTTCCAGCAAGTGGAATTTACGAGCCGTGAGAGTGTGTTGAAAGGAAGCAGACAGAGGGAATAGAATGCTCCATGTCCGGAGGAAAGAAAAAGGCATTACCAACTCTACTTGACTGGCCTGACCTTGAGTTGAACAAGGATTTCTCGCCGAAAAGGCTTATGAATTTTCCTGACCATAGGAAGCACTTTACACCATCAAGACTGGACCACTATCTCCCTCCTTCGAGCTCAGAGGCCTCTCCGAAGAACACAAAAGCGAAAGAAGAAAAAAAGAAAACTGATATCTTCAAGAAATATGGCCTAGCCTTGAATCGAACAAGGATCTCCTGCCGAAATGTCTACTCTACGCCTGGGTAAATAAAGCAGGTATGTTACCGCTACACCACCAGGCCTTCCTTGCCCTTCCTCAGACTGAGTATGTACATAATCACTGACGCAAAGAAGAAAAAAAACAGCGAGCACATCGGAAGTGGCCTGACCTTGATTCGAACAATGATCACCTACAGAAATCTGTTTCATCCACTGTATAAGCAACAGGCGTGTTCCCATTACACTACCAGACCATTCTTAGCTTTCCTCAGACTGACTATGTACGTGAGTTCTGCGAGCAACCCCAGAAAAAGGTTAGCGCAAAAAATAGATATGGCCTGACCTTGAGTCGAACAAGGGATTCCTGCTACAATGGGTTCGAGAGGGAACTGCACGCAGGCGTGTTGCCGCTACACCACCATGCCGGTAGCAATTCTGGGGGGAAAGACGTCTATATTCCTCATTGAATATCAACCATACTGAGCCTGTCAGTGTGACGGACGGGAAGGACGGAGAAAATTTCATCTCGGAATCGGCGCGGGCTTGTTAGAACTTCCAATAAATCGCCGAGACGGCTGAAACTTGGCGGCACTGCACATACTTACAGAGTTGAAACTTGGTTGAGGCGGAGTTGAAGTGAAGTGAAGTGGAATCTTCCGACAGGATCGTTGAACTCGAAACGCGCGGGATGCTGACGTTGGAGCAGCTGAGCGATTCAAGCAGCTGTTGGCGCATCTGGCAGAACCAAGGATGCAGTCTGGGTCTGGCTCTAAGATAGCGACATAGGTATGCCCGCACCGGACTCGGAGGAGGAATTTGGACATACAGCTGGAATCTTCGCAAAGCGTCCGCCTTCACCAGGTGGCTCGATAATTGGGATGCCAATCGTGCAGTGCGCGGACTCCGAGTCATCCTTCGAGGATTTGGATTGCTCTATAATCTTGAGGATCCAATGCGTCCACGATTCTAGGAATGAACCTGCACAAAAACACGGCACGGGCGCGGGCTGTCGCAATTTGCGAATTACCCGCGCGGAAGGCCGACCGGAGGTGTCGAACTCGATGAGAGAATCAAAGTGCGCATTGTCCTCAAGGTCGAAAATTGAAACGAGCAAGAGGAGGACGAGAGTCCGAGATACAGCACGCGTTTACACGCGTTGAAGACGGGTCAAGCAGGGTAGGATGCCCCCAAAAATCCCCCAGGCAGTATTATGGGTTCGAGTCGACCGATGGACAAAACGCGATGGGAGGCACTAAAGTAGCAGAGATCTGAGATGACGGTCAGAGACAAGAGAGTAAATCCGCACGTGAACGCCTTTCGATAGCGCCACCATCTCACCTCTCACCGTTTCGCTCCCCGCAAACCCTCCTTCGCGCCCCAGTCGCTCCTGCTGATGACTCGTGGGTACTTGGTGCCTAGCGAGCCCCCAATACGCGCCATCATTTCAGTGGCACGTCGTCCGCAACCCCCACACGGACGCCGCGCGTCTGTGCCAGGCCTTCTCGCGCTCAGCTTCAGCTTCGGCGGCCCTACCTAACAACAAGGAAGCGCTCGGGGCGCTCTCCGTTCAACACCCTGGCACAGATGACATAGCTCGCGGACGGGAAGACTCGTACCCCACCCCGCCACTCAAGCCGAGAACACGGACACGAGCGGGGAGCGCACCGGCGCCACTCTCCTCTGGCGCTCATGAGCCTTGGTATCTGGGAGGGCGCGCTGTTACTCATCTCGGTACGTCTCAAAGTACGGCCTTTCTTGCATTCCCTTCCTTCGTACGTGTTCCCCCCTGCGCTACCCTCACCTTGCCCCTTCCTGTCCCCGCGATGCTCCTTCCCCCTTCATCCCTTGCCTTATAAACCCACATTTGCTTTCCCTCCCCTTCACTTTCGCGTCCGCGTACGATCCACTCGATTACATCTCTAATCTCTTCTTCCACAGGCTGCGCCCTCTTCTTGCCGTCCTTATCCGTGCTTCCGATCCTCTCAACACCCCGCGCACGAGCCCGCGTCCGTCTTCCTTCTGGAGGAGATATCGCAGCTCCGCGTCGCTGAAGCCCACAAAAGCCAGCGCGGGTGTGTCTCGACTTCGCACCTCTGACGCTATCCGTACCCCATGCGCCCCCATACCCCCGTGGGCTTCCCGCGTTGCCGTCTCCGCGCCGCGCCCTCTCACTGCGCGCGCCCTGGCTTCAGCTCTCCGCCAGCGCCCGCGCGGATGTCTGTTGATACAAGCGAAGGAGGCGAACAGGCGGCGGAACGCGAATGTCCGCCAGCTTCAGCGCCACCGCGGACGACACCGTGCTTCCTGTGTTGCGAGGGCAGGATCCGGGGTGCGCCGCTCCTCCCCCCTACCCCCGCGATCGGATGTCCTAGACGCCCACGCGGGCGCTGTCCCGCCCTGCGGCATGCTGGAGGGGCGGAGCGCACCCGCAGGACAGCGCAAGAGAAGGAATGCACGCGGGAGCGTAAGGAAGAGGCGCATACGAGCCAGCGCTGGGGCCTGCGGCGCTTCCAGATGGCGGAGTGCTCGCGGAGAGGATGCGCGCGTCCGCGTCGCCCGCACCCCGCAGCCGTCCGTGCGGGACTCGACTCTCCCTCCCCGCGCCATCGCGCCCGCCGCGCGTACGACAAGGAGCCGGTTAGGCTCGAGATGACGCCCGCTCAAGCACGGCGCGCTGCCGGTGCCCGAGACGCGCAAGGACGCTTCGGCCTACTGGCGGCTCAGGCTCTCCAAAGACCCTCCGCCCGAGATCTCCAAGGACCCAGTGAAGGCGCGGCGCGGTGGTGTGGGGCGTCCCTTCTCCGTGACTGCGCGGCTGCTGATGGGTGCGATTGCGATTGTGCAGCTCGAGGACGCGGAGGACTTAATATCAATGAACGAGAAGAGGAGGATCATAAAGTAATATAAGGAGACGGATGACGCGCGCGCGCGGTGAGACGTTTCGTGTTTCCTTTTCGCAGTCACTCAAAGATGCGCAGACCGACACACCCCGCAGGGACGAAGATTCTGCGGATCGAGAGATGCGTGCCAGTGGGGAGGCGAGCCGTGGCGCAGGCGCGTTTCTGGGGGTTTTGAGATTTTGAGACAGCGCCGCTTGCGGTGACGGCGGGGTGGGTGACGGAGCGAGGCTGGAGCTGGAGAGCGCGCTGGCGGGGACGGTCACGATGCGTCGCCTTGTGTTTATATTGAGCCGTCTAGGGTTCATCTTCAACCAACTGTTAGTTCAAGTTGGAATACAACTTGTTTTGTGCGGAGCCAAAGCTGCTAGGGAGGCCTGACTGAATGGCAGTACACAAGGACTCGAGAGTTTACGGGTAATAAGTTAGTGGTAGCGCATGCGCCAAGACTGCGCCGAGTCATCTCTTGACTTGTGTCGGGTGTGTACGGTCCCCTTTCAGCGTTACAAGAGAGGCGGCGGATTGAGAGGGGACGGTGGACGGACCTGCGAGCGTGCCCTTGCGATAGAAGGTCCCTTGGGCTAGCGATTCATGCGCATCTACGCCTGCGGTGTCTAATATATGTTCATGGGGATGGGGCGATGATTGCATCCCGAACGCATCCTTCCATTTTCGCTTCGTCTCCCATGCATTTACCATCTTCCGCGCACATTTTCTATCACCTCACACCATGTCATAATACCACATTGTGTGCATAAACTACGACCAGACGGCAGCGGGTTTGGCGGAACTGAAGACAAAGAAAAAATAATTCCAGCGAGAAGCCCTGCAAGGACAGTCAGTGGTAAGTTTCTGAACACAAGATCCGTTGATTGCACCTTTAAGTAGTGGATGCGGGATAAGAGGTAGGCACTCAGGGAGCGAAAAATGAATTCGGCGCGTCCGGTAGACCCTCCCAAGGAGAAAAAGAGTGCACAGGCGGATTATATGTGAGTGCGAGATGAAGGCCATTCTTCACCAATGACTGCAGCTCCGGGCGGATATCGAGCTCCATGGCCCGGTTAAAGCAGATTACTACGCACTTCAGAGTCCTGAAGCGTAGGAGTGCTTTGTCGGAAATGGCGCAGGAGTATTGGATCTCCAACGCCTGGAGACCCGGGCAACATGGAGTGGGCAAGTCGACAGATGGGATGAAGGATTCTAAAATTTCGTCATCGAAACTCGCAGGGTAGTGGGCTGGGAAGTCTATGCTGATGTTGAGTTGGCGAAGGGTAGGCGGTAGCTCGCGAAGGAAACTAACAAGAAACGGTTTTGAGAACCATACATTACTGATCTCGAGCTTTTCGATGAGGGGAGCAGCGGCGAGAAAGCGGACATAGGGCATGTTCTCGTTATCCGACATTCCGCGAAGTTTTAAGTTCCGTAATTGTGGGAAAAAGACCCAGCCGAACAGGCGATAGACGGTCTGAAAGGCGTCACAGCCTAGATCCAGTGTATGAAGAAACGAGAGTTCGAGAACGGGTTCTTCGAGCCCGCCGCTGACGATATCGCCGATATCGGGAGGGTCATGAACGAGTAGGCGGCAAGTCCGCAGCTGAGGGCAGCGGGAGAGAATCTGCAAGGCCGTTTCGCTCGCCGGGAAGCCTTGTGTTTCCGTGATCGAAAGGTTTATTAAACTACCCCAGTGAAGCGGTAATTCTATAGGGTTGAAACTGCCTCCTTTCAAACTAAAAGAGGAGATTTCCGGCGCGCGAAGGAAGCCGAATGAATCCAATCGAACAGCATTTCCTTCATTTCCATAGGTCGTGCTGATGCTGACCGACTTGAGCATCGGCACATCCGCCTCGGTAAGATGTGACACGATCCCTAGGTTAGACAAAGGGGCCGGGGCCGTGAAGCTGATGCGCTCCCAACGTGATGCGAAAGGGAGCAGGGCCGGAATGAACTTGCTTTGGGAACCCCAAGGGTAGCTGTTGCCGGAGGATTGCAGTGATATGGACAGGGGGCAGTTGCCAGACCGACCGAGCCACATCTTGGTAGTCTCGAGTCGTTGGGCTAGCTTCTTTTCGAACCAATAAGGAGTGTTAAAAGGGCACGAAGGCTCCACAATGTGAAGCCAAGACCACAGGCGGGGAGTCGAGAGGGATATGGATCTCCAGGAACTGCATATGCGCCCGAGGAGGACGGGTGCCTCCACAGCGCTCATGGCACAGTTGCGGTGCGTTGGAAGGCAGGCTGTGAAGATCTCCTGGATTATGTCGAGCGGCAGTCGTCGAACGGGGAAATAAGGGCCTTGTGGGCGTCGACATAGGCACTGATCCCAGCACGCTCCTCCGCCAGTTTATCGAGCGCCTTCTGCAAAACGGCGATTTCATCGTCGAGACACTTTAATCGAAGAGTGGGTTCCACGAGGAGAGTTTGGATCTGCGATATCTCCTCGTCCTGGGGACAATAATTGGTCCCTAGCTTCGAGGTGAAGGGAGACGACATGATGAAATGTGAGGCAGTGCTTGGCAGTGCATGTCGCAAACACGGCCACGTGAATTAATGGCGCGTCGGTGATTGGGCACAAATTGAATCAGAGGGCAAGGTTGGCGGATCGGTCTACCAGAAGCTGAATTGGGGATATGGGAAAGGTTATATCAGCGGTCTTGAGCAGCAGAATTTGTCCTCAGAAGGCCCGTTGGCACAAATTCGATGAAGGGTGAATAATTCCTTTTCAACTATGCAACTTAAAGTCAACAACGGATTCAGCAGAGGAAAGATTTCGAAGTCCCTGGGCAAAGAATCGACCCGAGTACGAAAGAAGCGTAGACGGTAGAGCGAGCTGTACGTGCTCCACCTGGGGATGGAGATCCCAGAAAAGGCCTTGACAAGAGCAGCATCAACTAGTACTTGACCTGCAAGTCAGCGCCGGTGCAGATTTTAGTGCGCCGCCTGGACGTAGTGTGGGCACAAAGCTGGGGGGGTACACAGACATAGACAGATGGATCGAAGGGCCGCTCAGAAAAGCGAGCGGTGGAAGCGAAAAAGCAAGAGAGAGAGAGCGTCGTTGAAGCACGTGCCCGTTCGTGTTGAAGTTCAAAGAAAAAAAATCACTGCATGTCGTTGAGAGTAGCAAGCGGAATTTACGAGCTGGGAATGAATAAAATGTCAGAAAAATAAGGATGCTGAGGGAATGGAAGGTTACACACCCCGCGGAGGAACACCTTGAATCGAACAAGGAACTCCCACGGGCCACCGAGAGAGGTTCGTGGACTTTATGGAAACTAGGTGTGTTACCATTACACCACCAAACCATTCCTATAGCCTCCCTAACACTGAGTACGTACATGATTTCTGAGAACAATGCAAAAGAAAAAGCAAGACAAAGAAAATATGGCCTAGCCTTACTAATCAAACAGAGATCTCCCTGTAAACCGATGGCATACTTTAAATATGGTCAGGCGTGTTGCCATTACACCATCAGGCCGCTCTCAAACTCTCTTCGGACTGATCAGATCTATTACTTCTGGGATCTGTCAACAACCTCAAGAAAAAACATGGCTTGACCTTGAATCAAACAAAGATCCCCCACCGAAGACCAGGACTCTTCTGCATAAGAAGCAGGTATGTTACCATTACACCACCAGACCAGCACCTCGACATCCCTAACACTGACTACGTACATGATTTCTGGCGCAAAGATGAGATGGAGGAACAGCCTGACCTTGATTCGAACAAGGATCTCCTGTCGTATGAATTTTCCTGACTATAGAAACAGGAGTGTTACCATTACACCACCAGGCCGTTACCATGGACTCCCTCAAACTTAACTTACTACGTACATGAGCTCTGCAAACAACCCCAAGAAAAAAGGGCCTAGCCTTGACTCAAACAAGAGATTCCTGCTGAAATCAATACAAGAAGGTGAACTGCAAACAGGTCTACACCACCAGGCCGATAAAAATGTTGGGGAGGGAAACATATATATTCCGCAGTGAATATTACATGTAACCAGTTAGTTTGATGAAAAAATTTCTCGGAAGCCGGAACCGACTCGGCTTGTTACACCTTAGTACTTACAAGAAATCACAGAGGCAGGTTGTGCATGGCTGAAGAATTTGGCGGCACTGCACATACTTACAGAGTTGAGACTTGGCTGAGGCAGAGTTGAAGTGAAGGGAAGTGATATCTTCCAGCAGGGCCATTGAACTCGAAACGATGCTGATGTTGGTTACAAGAACAGATTGAATGCAGTCTGGCTCCAGGATGCAGGGCCGGATAATTTTAGCGCCATCGGAGAGGCGCGGATAAAGCCAAAGTATTTCGCGAACAATATAAGGAGCGGATGCCAGGCTGAGCGGAGCACGAGTAAGATAGGACGGACGCGAAGACACGCAAGTACTGTAGGACCGGCTGGTATCTCGACATACATATACCCGCGCCGGACTCAGAGAAGGAACATGCAGCTGACATTTTGGCGAAAGCGTCTGCCGCCACCGGATGGCTCACGAACCAGGATATCAAGTGTGCGGTGCGCAAGATCAGCGCTCGCCCTTGAATTGCCCTGTATAATCTTCAGGATCCAGTGCATTAGCGATTCTAGGAATGAAACACAATGCTACCAGAAGAAAAAAACACGGCAGGGACGCGGGCGGTCGAAATTTAAGAGCTACACGCATGGACGCGTCCGACTCGATGAGGGAATCAAAGTGCTGGGAAGAACGCTGCGCTTCAAATCACCCATTCTTATTAAAAAAAACCATTTTCGACCTTCAAGGTCGAAATCTGCAGAGGTGTTCGGACAGCTAGGTTTCGAACGGACCGCCAGACTTGCAGTTCGAGCAAGAGGAGAACGAGGCACGAGGACACGAGTCCGAGGATACGAAAGTCCGAGGATACAGTACGCGTTAAAGACGGGTGAAGTTCAGAGCTGGGCATGGAGCCAGGCAGGGCAGGATACCGGTCATCCAGGGAGATGCTGCCCAGGCTGAAGCATGGGTTCGAGTCGACTGGTCGACAAAACGCGGCGGGAGCCATTCGCAGGAGGTCCGAGATGACGGTCAGAGACAAGAGGCGTTACCGTAAACCGGCACGTGAACGCGCTTTCGATAAACCACCACCTCACCCAAGACCTCACCCGTTGTACTGTGCCGTATGAAACTGGCGTTCCCCGCAAACCCTCCTTCGCCCGCCCAGTCACTGAACTGAGCCCATGCTGATGATTTGAGCGCGAGCCGTTATGCGCGTTGTCTTTTAAGTGGCAACGGGCCCCGAGTCCTCAACGTCGTCCGCAACCCCCTCCCCATGGACACCATGAGCCTGCGCCAGAAGCCCGCGAGCCTGGCGAGCGCCTTCCTCGCGTTCAGCTTCAGCTTCAGTGGCCATATCTAACGGCAAGGACAAGAAGAAAGTGCTTTTCGTTCAGCACCTTGGCCAGATCACATAGCTCGCGGACGGGAAGACGCATCATGAGGGCATGGACACGGGCATGGACATCATGGCGCCGCTCTCACGCGCGTGTACTTTGTGGCCATGGGCCTTGGGCTTGGTTCTGGGAGGGGTGTGCTGGTATTTGAAGTCTCACTCTCGGTGCGTCTTTCTTGCTTCCCTTCCTTCCTGCGTCACGGAAGCGTCATTCCCTTCCCTTCCATCCATCGCCGCCGGCGCCGCCCTTCCCTCGTCTACGTCTCCCCTCTATGCTCCTTCCGCCTTCCTTCGTCCCCTCCCTTGCCCCGCCTTGCTTGCCCTTCCCTTCACCTTCGTGTCCGCGTACGATTGTCGATTACAGTACTGATATCTAATCTCTTCCACAGGGTGCGCCCCCTTCGTGTCATCCTTATCCGGGCTTCCAGTTCCCCCTCAATCCCCCCCCCCCGCACGACCCCGCGTCCGCGTCGATAACGCAGCGCCGCGTCGCTGAAGCCCACAAAAGTCTGCGCGGGTGCATCTCGACCTCGCACCTCTCATGCTATCCGATCCGCCCGGCCGTACACACCACCAGGCGCCCCGTATCCCGCGGTCCCGTATCCCACGTATCCCACATCCCCGTGGCCTTTGCGCGCGGACGCCCTCCCACTGAGCTCTCCGCCAGCGCCCGCGCGGATGTCTGTTGACTCAGGCGAAGGAGGCGAATGCCCATCAGCTTCAGCGCCACCGCCGCGCCACCGTGCTTCCCGCGTTGCCCGAAAAAGATGCGCGCGTATGCGTCGCCCCTCTCCCTCCAGCTTCAGCGCCCCTGCGTCTGAATCTCCGCCCACGCGGGCGGTGGAATGGCCTACCCCGCGACATGCAGGAGGGGCGGAGGAGCGCACACGCAGGACGGCGCAAAAGCGGGGGATGCACGCGGGAGGAGGAGGCGCATACGAGCGAGCGCCGGGGGCCTGCGGCGCATCTGGGGCTGGGTGCGCGCCGCGAGGATGCGCACGCGTCGCCCGCACCCCGCAACCGCCCGTACAGACTCGACTCCCGCCTCGCCCGCGCCACGCAGGCGGAGGGAGGCCGCGCATGTACGATACGAAGGCCGCTTGGGCCCGAGAAGGCGCATGTGCCTGGGCGCTCAGGGACGGCGCGCTGCCGGTGCCCGGGACGCGTAAGGACGCCTCCGTCCTCGGCCTGCGCTCAAGATCTTTCGTGACCTACCGGCGGCTCAAGCTCTCCAAAAACCCCGCGCTCCAGATCTCCAAGGACTCGATGAAGGCGCGGCGCGGTGGTTTTGACCCCTGCCCGGTGTGGCTGCTGATGGGTGCAATTGCGCAGCTTGAGGACGCTGAGGACTCTGAAAGTGCGTGAGAATGAGGACGAGGAGGACGCGTACGGCGAGGCGTTTCGTGTTTCCTTTTTCAATGCACTCACAAATGTGCAGATCCACGCACTTCGCGCAGGGAGGGAGATTCTGAGTATCGAGATGCGCTTGTTCGTGGGGAGGTGAGCCTTGGGGCGTTTCTGGATGGATGGAAGGGGGTTTTGAGATTCTGAGGCGCAGATCCAGAGTGGGGCGCGCGCGTGCGTGCGAGGGGACGAGCCCGTGCTCGTGAGCGAGGGGTGAGGGGCGGGGACGGAGCGGACCTGAAGCGGGAGAGCGCGCTTGCGGGGAGGAGCAGGGCTGGAGAGTACGCGCACGATGCGTCACCTTGTGTTGTCGTGTCGGCGGCATATGCGCGGAGGCGACCCCGCGAGCGAGGCGCCTGGGTGGCGGTGTGTCGGCGGCGGGTTATGGGTGTGGTGCCGTGCGGAGGTGGGCAGCGGGCGGGTCTCGGAAGATCCGTGTTAGCGCGTGGAGCTGCGGGGTTTCAAGTATCCGCAGGTCGGAGTGTGTGGGCTCGTAGAGATGTGGGGGATAGAGATGCGGGTGTCGGCGCTGGAGGGTGTATCCGCGGCGTTTCGGCGCAGCGCGAGCGAGTGTGGTCTTCAGCGCGACTTCAGCGCGACAGCGCGTCCGGAGACCGCTTGCGGCGGCGCATGTCCCAGGATGAGGTCATCGTGCTCGCGCGCTGGCCTCGCTCCCAGAAGTTCCTTTGCGTTTTTCATAGCTCGTCGTTCTCGGTGCGAGGCACGTTTTCGAGGCTCGGCGCGGTTGCGGACGAGGTGTATGGGCATAGGAAGCGGGGGAGAGCATGGGAGGAAGTGGGGAAGACGCACGCTGCGATTCCACCCGTCAAGTGTAGTGCATGACAGTGCGCGCGCTTGCTCGGCTCGTTGTTCGGCGATACAGCGCTCGGCTTGTGGGATTTCTGTGCAGCCCACTCTCAGAATACAACCTGTTGTGCGCGGAGCCAAAGCGGCGGGGGAGGACTGAATACTACAAAGATTTGCGAGTTTACAGGTAATAGATGTGGGCGCATGTGGGCGCCGAGTCATCTCTCGACTTACGTCAGGTGCGTAGGGTTCTGCATTCCCCCTTTTCAGCGTTATAATGAGAACCTGAGAAGCCCGCCTTGCGAGGCATAGTTCCTCTAGGCCAGAAGTTAATGCGCCTCTCCGCATGCTGCGTCTTCACGGAGATGGCATGATAATCTGTGACCTCACACCGTGCTATAATGTCAGCATTGTGTGCATAAAACTACAACCAGACAACGTGTTTCGTAGGAAATGAAGAAATAATAATAATAATTCCAGTGAGAAGCCCTGCAACGACAGTCAGTCGCAAATTTCTGGGCACAAGATTCGTTCAATGTACCTTTATGTGGATATGGGATCAGGTGTATGCACTGCGGGGGTTCGGCGCGTTTGGTAGACCTTCTCAAGGAGAAGAAGATTGCACGGGTGGATTATATGTGTTATATGTGAGTGCGAGATGAAGGCCATTTTCCACCAATGGCTGCAGTTCCGGGCGGATATCAAGCTCCATGGCCCGGTCAAAGAGGATTACAACGCGCTTCAGAGTCCTCGATCTAAGGAAGCGTAGGAGTGCTTCGTCGGAGATGGCGGAGTATTGGATCTCCAACGCCTGGAGGCCCGGGCAACAGGGAGTAGGGAAGTCGACAGATGGGCTTAAGGACTCTAAAATCTCGTCATCGAAACTCTCTATGCCGAGGTTGAGTTCGCGAAGGGTAGGCGGTAGCTCGCGAAGGAAACTAGCGAGAAACAGTTTTGAGAGCCCTCCATCAGTGATCTCGAGCTTTTCGATGAGTGGAGCAGTGGCGAGAAAGCG